GCTAATATTAGTGCCCAATTGCGGGAGCTTAAAGAAATAAGAGAGGCCACTGAAAAATTGGAAGAAGAGTGGTTGAAGAAAAACGACCATTGTGATCGTATGCAGAGAGAGTGGCTCGATTGTTTTAAGAATAGATACCGATAGTTATCGTCGTGTATTTAATAGTAATTTTTCAATAAAAATAGGAATTGTTTGAGTTTGTTTTTTGTTTTTATTGTGGATAAGTAGTTATCCGACCGGATACCTTTCGAATTCAAATTTCAAAATATGTCAAACCCCATTAAGAGTAGTATTCTCACAGCCTTCAAAGGTTGGAACGCACTTCGTGCGATTGAAGAGTTTAAGGATGACACTTTAGAGGGGGACACAGCGCAAGTAAAATTAATTAAATACGAAAGTCTGAGCAGGGAGCTGGCTGCCGAAATCAGAACGCAAGAGCTCATCGTTAATGAAGTGAAGCTCGCTCTGACTTCTTGGACCGACTTGCTCAGGAAACTTCCCTCGGATGAAAGAGAGATGGGGAATCAGGATTACGCGGTCTTTAACGATAAACACCACATCGAGCATACTATTGAGCATTTTGAAGTTCAAACGAGGGAAATGCGCAAGTTAGCCCGAAAGGTCAATCTCCAACTTCAATTGGTGACGGTGGAGGCCGAGAAAGAGAGGAGAGAGGAAGAGCTCGAGCACCGTCGTGAGTTAGCTGCCGCCGGAGGCCAGGGCCCGACTGATCCGAATACAATCCCAAGGTTAGGTTCCAACCTATACCAGCTCCCCACTTTAAAAATTAAGAGGTTCTCTGGTGAGCGGAGAGAGTGGCCTGAATTTATTGAGTCCTTTAACTGTGCAGTGGAAAGAGCAGTCGGCACGAATGTAGAGAAGTTTACACTCCTCCGCTCCCTCTTGGAAGGAGAAGCGAAGGAGCTCGTGTCCGGTTTTAAATTAGACACTGCCAGTTATTTGGAGGCTCTGAGATTATTAAAGGATTATTATGGGGATAAACAAATGCGAGTGCGGGAGCTCCATATGAAATTAGCCAATTTAAAAAATTGTTCCTCTTTGAAGGAGACAAAGGTTTTTGCATTCGAATTAGAAAGGCTAATTCGAGAGTTGAGAGCAGAAGGGGAAAATACAGAAGGGCCGGTTGTATATCTTGCCTTAGAAAAAAAATTGAATAAAAATTTTTTGAGGGAAATATTGAATAAAAAATCGGAGGAAGGAGCTGCTTGGTCCACTACGAGATTTCGAGAAGTTTTGCACGAGACACTTCAGCGCGAGATGTCTATTCAAGAAGTGATAAATGAGTACGATCACGAGAGAGCTCCTAACCGGAATGTGCCTCGCCCTCCGCCTAGACGTTCTTTACCTACCCCCCGCAACCCAGATTATACATATTTAGTAGTACAAGACAAGAATTTACCAAAGTTTAATCAAAATAGGGCTTTTGTTCCCAGAAGTCCCCCCGCCTGTGTTTTTTGTAATCAATCGCATTGGAGTGACGAATGTCGAGTCGTCACGGATCCCCGCAGTCGAATAAAAATAGCAGAGGCTAAGGGTCTTTGTACTCGATGCCTTGGAAAAAATCATAGTCCCAAAAATTGTTGGAGGCCTTCCACTTGTTTTTACTGTAAACGCGCTCACCCTGGAGCATTTTGTTTTTTGAAAAATATTTCTAATCGCAATAGCCCAAGGCAAAATGTAGAGGTTTCTAGAAAATTTTTTACAGGAGGAAATGCGCAACTTTTAAGAATGCAACCCCCTCAGAGGGGTGGGAATTTCAATAATCGCCAGACCCAACCCCCACAGAGGGGTGGGAATTTTAATAATCGCCAGGCCCAATGGCCACAAACGCAAACTCAGTTTAGGGGTAATAATATATCGGCCGTGTGGCCCAATCAATCGCAGGAGGAAGCTTCAAGGCGTATGCTCTCAATAGAGGCGCCAAATCAAAGGGGACAAGTAATAAGGACCCCAGAAATAAAACATGCTCAAAATGGGCAAACAAATGTTGCGCTAGAGGGCGAGGGGAAAGCCCTACTTATGACCGTTGAAGTAATGGTCTCAAACCCCAGAAAACAAGAAAATAAAATCCCGGCTCTCGTGTTTCTCGACCCGGGTAGTCAGAGGAGCTTTGTCTCAAAAAGAATTGCCGAAAAACTTGAATTGGCCCCAATGGGAAAAGAGGATTATTATCTTTCGAGCTTCGGAAGTGAGAAGCCTAAAAAATATGAAAGTGAGTTAGTAAGAATAGATTTGCTTGGTAAAAACGAAGAAAGACTTTCCATGGTTTTAAATAAAATGGACTTCATTGTAAATCCTTTGCCATGCTATGACTTGGCTAAAATGGAACCTCAAGCATTACATGACTGGAGGCTGTGTAAGGCGGACTGGCGTCCACCAGATGTCCTTTTGGGGATGGATATCTGGCACGAACTTAACGTCCAGCCTTTGGAAAAATTACCAAGTGGGTTTACTATCAGTACCTCTAGAATTGGTAATATTTTGAGTGGAGCGGGACTCCAGGAAAATGGTTCTACTCCAAAAAAGGGGGTTTATTTTGCAAATGTGGCCCAAGTCTATACCATACTTGAGGAAGATGGAGAAGAGGATTTCAAGACAGACGTGGAGCATTCGGAGCAATTATCTCATTTTTTCGGATTACATGGCGTGGGACTGGAGGATGTTTCGGCGCCAACCACAGACGAAGAAGTTATGGAAAATTTTCGGAAAAACTTGGTTTTCGTAGATGGAAGGTATCAGGTCGCGCTCCCATTCAATAAAAATATTCAGTTTTTGCCCACTAATTATCGACACGCTAAAATGAGGCTCGCTTCCACTTTGAGGAAATTGAGGAAATTAAATCTCGTAGATGAATACGAAAAAATATTGAAGGAGCAATACGATAAGGGAATGATTGAAAAAGTAGAAAACCCCTCCGAGGCAGATGGACCAGTTCACTACCTCCCTCATAGGGCGGTAGTGAGAATGGACAAAACATTTACAAAAGTAAGAATTGTTATGGACGCGAGTGCTAGACCCCCGAGTCAACCTAACGCTCCTTCCTTGAATAATTGCCTTCACACAGGACCGCTCCTTTTGAAACAATTAGTGGGAATTCTTTTGCGATTCAGGTTCATGGATCGTGTCCTCCTCGCAGATATAGAGAAGGCATTTTTACAATTGGGTGTGCGCGAGACAGACAGAGATTGTACCAGATTTCTTTGGCTGGAGAAGCCAAAGGAGGCCAACCTGGACGAAATTCAATTCACGCATTGTATTATTTTTCGTTTCACAAGGGTGAGCTTTGGTCTTACGGTTTCACCTTTCCTCCTCAATGCAACTCTACAGGAGCACTTGGGATTGTTTGAGTCTCCTGTGGCCCGGTCAATAGAAGAAAATCTCTATGTAGATAATATTATGATCGAAATGAGGAAGGAGGACCGGGTCGAAGAGGTTTGCCGCGAGGCAACAGAAATGTTGGAGGCCGCGGGAATGAGTATCAGAGAATTTTTCGGCGTATCAAAAGAAGAATTTGGAGAGGTTCCCGAAGGGAAGCTAGCTCCAGATTTAGAAAAAACGAAGATTTTGGGTTTGTATTGGTACTTAAACAAGGAAAAGTTGACAATCCCTTTTCCAAAGTTTGAAGGATCGGTGACCAAGAGACAAGTTCTTTCAACAATAGCAAAAATTTACGACCCGTTAGGCCTAATCTCACCTTGTTTAATTCCCGCTAAAAAGGTTTTACAAAAAATATTTGAAGCCAATTATAAATGGGACGTTTCAGTCTCGAGGGAGCTGGTCGAGGAATGGCAAAGAGTTTTATTGACCTGGAATAATTCTGGGACGGAATCCTTCGAGATTTCCTTTCCTCGGAGAATTCCACTAGGATCAGCCTTTGAGCGAGAACTCCATTGTTTTGTCGATGCTAGTGGTCAAGGTTTCGGCGCTCCCACGTCTTGAGCTCCAGGCTATTATGATCGGAGTTAAGTCTCTTAAATTTTTGTTGGAGGAGTTAAAATTAAATAAGGAGGTGGCGACTATTTGGACCGATAGTTTGTGTAACGTGGAGAGATTAAATAATTTTGAAAAATACGACCGGTTCATCGCCAATCGCATCGTGAAAATTCGAGGTCAATTCAAAGTCGCGCACGTTATTTCGAAGGACAACCCTGCGGATTTGTGCTCCAGAGGAGTTACCCCGGAGGTATTGATTAATAATAGGTTCTGGTGGTCGGGCCCGGAATGGTTAGAGGAGGAAAAATCCAAATGGCCACCGTCTCAAGCAGAATACTCACCGGAAAAAGAGGAATGGAGGAAAGCTGAGGAAGAGAAAATGGAAGTGATTTTAGAGGAGGTTTCAGAAGAGAAGTGTATAATAGACGTAACTCGATTTTCCAAGTATCAAAAATTGTTAGGGGCCACTGCGTATGCCTTTAGGTTTTTACAAAAGACACTCTCAAACTTTGATTTGAAAGGGCCTAAAAAATATTTTTGCGACTTTAAGAATTTTTTAATTCCGAAAGCTATTCCAGGGACGGTATTTGATAAAAACCTACCCTCATTGAAAGAGTTACAGAGCGCTGAATGGTATTTACTCCAGTGTGCGCAAGAAGTGCATCCACCTTCTGAAAATGTTAAAGTTGATTTAAATTTGTACTTAGCTAAGGGCCTTTGGAGATGTCAGGGTAGAATAGACGAGTCCGAATTGCCAGAGGAAGCTATTAAACCAATCTGGCTCCCGAATGATGCTTGGATTACCAGATTAATTGTTTTGAAATACCATATTGAAAGAAAGCATTGCGGAACCCAGACTTTGTTAGGAGAATTGAGGCAACGATTTTGGTTGACTAGAGGTCGTAAAACTGTTGAAAGAATAATTTTCTCTAGCAGAGGATGTCTCATTTGTCGAAAATTTAAGTGTCAACCTTATCGCGCGAAAATATTTGATACACTCCCGAAGGAAAGAGTAAGAGAAGCTCGACCATTCGCAAATAGTGGGATCGACTTCTTTGGGCCTCTGACAATTAAAGAGGAGGGAAAAATTGGTAAAGCTTATGGGGCCTTATTTACTTGTTTGGTTGTTCGTGCGATTCATCTCGAGTTTGTGGAGGATTTGTCAGCCGTCTCTTTCCTCCAGGCATATCGACGTTTTATTTCTCGCCGCGGAATTCCAAAAATAATTCTCTCCGATAATGCCACTAACTTTCAAATGGGTGCCAAAATAGTTAAAAAATTAAATGATAAGACATGGTTCTCCCAAGAAGTTCAAGAGTTTACGAAGTATCAAGGTACCCAATGGCGATTTAATACTCCGAGAAACCCCCAGGAGGGAGGAGCCTGGGAGCGTCTTATAGGTATCACTAAAAAGGCGCTGAAAAGATGTGTGGGTAAAAGTCTTTTGAATAGGACTGAATTGACTACTCTTTTTTGTGAATTAGAGTCAGTAGTCAATTCACGTCCTTTGACGTTTCAATCTGATCGTGAGCCAATACAGTCAATTAGGCCAATAGATTTTCTCATCCCGTACCCTCAGACCGAAGTAAATTTTCCCGACTTGGAAGAGGAATCGGATTATGAAGAGGAGGTAGTGGGTAGAACTCAAATAACTCAACAAATAAGGAAAACTAATAAGAGGTTAAATAAATTTTGGGAGGTTTGGCGCAACGATTATTTGCTCTCTTTGAGGGAAAGAACCTTAGGGGGAACAAAGGTAAAGAATCGGATGGAGCCGGTGGTTGGAGACATAGTCTTGGTCGAAGAGGCCCTTCCTAGAAGTTTATGGAAGCTTGGAAAAATAATTGAACTTCAAAAAGGAAGGGACCAATTAATAAGGACGGCTAAAATAAAAATAAATAATAAAATATTCAAAAGAGCCATTGGCCAACTTTATAATTTAGAAGTTTTAGATTCTTCGTCTGAGAATGAGGATGAAATTGTGGAAGGAGTCAATGTCATTATTGAACAAGCAGAAGCCACAGTGGAGTCTAGTCGTCCACCGCAACCATACACTCGTCTTGAAACTAGATTATTGGCGCTAAGTAACCTTATTAATGAAGCCAAGAATGCCCGAAATCCTGGAATCGCTTCGCCACAGCAGCAATTACCGAAAATTACAACTCCGAGGCTTCCTGCAAACTATCGTATTCCAAAGAAAATACCTGAAAAACCTCCCCAAAAGAAGAAGATTGTGAAAAGGAAGGGAAAGTTGAGAGAGCACCCACTCCAAAAGGTGATTAAGAAGACGACCACGATTGAAGAAAAGGAAAGAAATATAAAACGTTTTGTAAATCTTTGGAGAATTGAAGAAGAAATTGATCAACATTGGAGTATTCAGGCGCCGATAGCAATTATGGATAATAGAGAGGTGGATTATGGACTTTTTAGCCCTTGCATTGGTGACATGCATAGTGAATGTAAGGCCCCGACAGTCTTCAACCGCAACGCCTATCGACGGGACCCGGCTTTTAGACAATATGTCCCGGATATTCTGCTCACACTCATGCATTGTTTAGCAGCAGATTGGTTTTCTCGACAACGCTTTCCAAGGCGTGAGATCAAGGAGGCAGTACAGGGACAACTCCTGCGTGAGGGAAATACGCCAATGATTACAGCACTGACCCTTTGGCAATATATCAAAGAAGCGCCGCTTCGAGCCTTCCCCAATGAGACGTTAAAAGAAGTGCTTCGTGTGCGCCAAAATACTTGTAAGGTTTTTCGGAGCCTCATCTTCCGTCAACCCTTTGGGCCTTTACGACTACAATTGCCACCTCAGACACCGGACGAGAAATTAAATAATTGGCTCAATTCATTGAAAGGGGCTTTGGATAATATATTAACGCGTCAACGATTTAAATATGGCAAATCAGAAGTGTCAACTTATTTAATCAATGCTCCCATAATTTTGGTAGCAGACTCTTCATTACCTTCTTTAGACGCTTGGGGTACAAATCCGGATACAACAAGACTATTCGTACTAAAAGAGGAAAAGCCTATTCATCAAATGATTTTCTTTGGCCCTCTAGTGGAGCAATTAATAATTATAATCTGGCCTAATGAGGAAAAATTAAAGTCTATAGAGGATAGTTTACTCTATTGGAAAAAGAAAGAAGTTTCTATTCGAGTTACTTTGGTATTAAATGAGCCGGAATTGCCATCAGAGAGAAAAGAGGCAATACAACAGTGTAGGAATCTCGTTGACTCATTTGACATTGGCTTTTATAGCTACGATGGAAAGTTAGATAAATTAAAAGAAGTTCAGGAGAGAATGGCTTTGACCGATTGTCTACCTGAAATTGAAGATAATGAAGAAGAAGAGAGTGAAGAAGAAGACATGCCTTTAGTGGGGTATGTAAAGGCTAAAAAGAAGAAAGAGGAAAAATTATTGAAGGTGAAAGAATTGAAAGTTCGCCGGGAGCGACAGCAGCAGCGGGCGTCGCTCCGGGAGTTACGCCAACGACAACAGCCAAGAACTTCTCGACGACTGAGTATGAGTTCGTCAAGCAGTATTTTATTACTTTTGGTTTGTCTACTCTTTTTTGCAACAACAATTTTGGCAAGCTGGGAATGCACTGATTGCGAGCCGTTTTATCCAGCTACCGCTGAAAAGAGAGGTGCTATGGCCAGGCCTATTGGAGGTTTGCGTTTAAGTAATACTGAAGAAAGTTTTGAAAGATTGGATGATTTAATAAGGTCTGGGAATATCAATGAAGGTCGAAAGCCCGTTTTATGGTGTGGCAACAGACCCAATACTTTATGGACTTTTCCAAATAGGCAGAACTCACCTTTCTGCCAGGATTTGAGTATTAGAAAATGGAAAAATAAGTTAGTGACTTTGTTCACTCATACCACTAAACCCAAGCCCTTAGAGGCTAACCATTGCTCGGCGAAGATTACGACTGAGAGATTCTATACTAATTTGTTAGGGGATAAATTTTATCGTTTGGAAAAAGAAATAATTCCTGTATCTAAAGAGGACTGTAAAAAGATGGAAGCCAATAAAGTTTGCCCTTTCAATTCGAAACCTTTGGTAAAAAAGGAGGAGGGGTACACTACTGAAGAAATTTTGAAAATTGATTTTCCGGGTAGATTTGCCAGTCTTTTTTCTGGAGAGAAGGTGGAAAAAATTGTTAATTGCTACTTGCAACCAACAAACTTGTTCTATTCCGCGCAGACTTTGCGTTTAATATCTCCCATACATTCGGTTGAAGGATGTCACTACCTCACTGAATTTTGTCGTCTCCCGGACAACTCGAGTTTAATTTGGAATAATATTTGTCCGCAGCATAATTGCCAGACGTGTAACCACGATTATTTTCAGAAAATGGAGGGGGAATTTAGTCGAACAAATGGGAAGCTTATTTGGATTTCGAAGAGCAAGGAACAGGCTTTGTCTTTTTCTGCGCAACCCCCAAAGGAAATGGCATGTAATGGACGGCCTATCAGAGTCTCTGAGCAAGGTTTCGGAGTTGATGAAAAGGAATATGCTCAGATGATTTCGATCAGGACCGCCCGAGAAGTAGATGAGGAGCAAGTTGCCGCAGGTCTCACTGCAGCTGAACTTGCCCTCAGGAAGCTACAGGATGCCGTGCTGAAGGAAAGATGCCAAGAGGAGACATTTAGGCATTTTAATCCCACCATACAAGCTAGAAAAGCCTTCAATAAATCGAATTTGGTTGCTCGATGGATTAATGAGGATACAATGGAAATCTATGCCTGTAGCGAGCTAGGAGTACAAGAGATGAGATTTCGTCCTTCAACTAAGTGTTACAAGTATATCCCCGTTCAATTGGAAATCCAGAGGAAAATCTTTGAAGTGTTTCTCGATCCTGAGTTGAGAATCCTTAGTGCGACGTCTCCTATTGCGGATTGCGGAAGATTCCGGAAGACATATTTTGAGCTAGAGCCTGATCGATGGATCATCATTGATACTCGAACTGGAATCTCGGAACCTGTGAAGAGAGAAAATATCCATGTTTTCAAAGACAATACTTCGATATTGGACTTGGACATGGGACCCCTTATTTTTCGTGAGTGGATAGCCAAAAATGATTCTACAGAAGTACCCTTCCGTCATATAAACGAGCTCACTCAGTTTGAGCAATGGAAGGAAAATGAAAAAACAGAGGAGCACTCCAGGGCTTTGACCCTAGGAGCGATTCCTGGCGGTCTTCCGGGGTTAGCTAAGCAATGGCTTTTAGAGAGGCTAAAGATGTTACTGGACTGGTGGGTTATTGCTTCATGTGCTTATGCAACTTTTCTTTTCTTGAGAGATGTAGTCCTTCCGTTAGCTCTTGTACAGTTTCTTTTGCCTGTTTGGGGATCATTCAGAGCGATGTTGGGACGAGGAACCCCAAGAGCAAGAAACCCAAAGAATGAGATGGATGTTCTCTTGGAACGAATCCGAGAAATAGAGCGTCAAGCTCCGAGAGAACGAACCTCCAGTGTGGCCTCGAGAGCATCTGCGACACCTTCTCGAGCCTCAAGTGTACCACCCTCAACGAAGAGCCCTTCTACAACCCCACCGAGACGAGGACCCCAGCCGGTTAATGGTGCCTTATTCCGGAAAAAGGATCAATCGGTAAAAATTTTTATCCCCCCGAATGTAGAAGAGAGGGGCAGATCTTCTTCAATTGGTACGAATCGTTCGCGCTCGGTGGGGGCGAGCCGAGCAGCGTCGGTGGAAACCGACAGGTCCTTTACAGTTTCCCCCGTATTAACAAGGGCTTCGACCTCGCGGGGGGAGGCTGTAACGGGCCGACGATCGTCGGCCCGAAAATAGTAAATATTAGAGACGTCCGAGACCGAAATTTTTCCAAGACTCAAGACCCAAGACAAAATTTTTCCAAGATCAAGACCAAGAGTCTCGGACAGCTCTAGTAAATATATATGGGAAATTAATTAAAAATACAAAAAAAAAAAACACAAAAAACACAAAAAATACAAAAAATATAGAGAAGAAGAAGAGGGAAATAAAAATAATAAAAAATTTTAACAGTTGTCAATAAAAGTGCAAAATAATAAAATTAGGGAAAATTAGGGTAATAAATTTAAAAGAAAAGATTTTTAGTAAAATAAGGAATTTAAGTGTAAATAAAGCAATTAATTAGCCCACGCAAAACCATTTCCACCCAATTTCAGACACATTGCTCAAACAATAATGAAAAGACTTTTTCGTGTCTATTCCTATGTTTATCATCAACATTTTAATTTAATTGAACAATTGGCTGAAAATAAAGAAGGAAAAAGAAAATTTTAATGGGAGTATAAAAATTAAAAAAGAAAAGATATAATTTTGCCTTTGTTCACTCATTTCCTCCAGAAAAATAAAAATTTTTTAAAAAAGAGAAAATATTTTTGTTTGGATAAAATTAAGGAAAAAATTTGAGATTTAAATTTTGAAAACTTCTACATAATTTGGTGCCCCCTGAGAGGAAAACCTGTAACTCCTTATATTCCAACACCTTCTACTAAATATCCACAACAATCATCAGTTAATCGACGTTTTCCTTCTGCTTCTCCAAATTTTAATTCTTCAAATAGTAGACCTACAAAGCAATTTCTTGTTCGGATTCTTGCCATGCTTCCAATTGAAAATTCCGGTAATTAAGATAAAAGGGGTTAAAAAAGGGAAAATAAATAAATAAAAATATTAAAGAAAAACTCAGTTACTGACCTTCGAGTCAGAAGTGAGTTTGATTAGGCCTCTGAGCCAAATTTAAAAAGGAAGAGTGCTCCAACCCGGCTCTATTTGGTTTACCTTTATATTGGTAAAAAATTAAATATTAAGGATCAGAAGTACCCGAGGTGAAAATACCGTTGAAGTGTGAGAGCCCAATAATCGAAGGAGGAAAACTACCATCTCGTGACCGACTTGAGGAAATCGACGCTAATATTAGTGCCCAATTGCGGGAGCTTAAAGAAATAAGAGAGGCCACTGAAAAATTGGAAGAAGAGTGGTTGAAGAAAAACGACCATTGTGATCGTATGCAGAGAGAGTGGCTCGATTGTTTTAAGAATAGATACCGATAGTTATCGTCGTGTATTTAATAGTAATTTTTCAATAAAAATAGGAATTGTTTGAGTTTGTTTTTTGTTTTTATTGTGGATAAGTAGTTATCCGACCGGATACCTTTCGAATTCAAATTTCAAAATATGTCAAACCCCATTAAGAGTAGTATTCTCACAGCCTTCAAAGGAAGAAAAAATATATGTCCTAGTTAAACGCTATCTCCTAGATTTTTTGTAATATAATATATCCGAAGAAAAAATATATGTCCTAGTTAAACGCTATCTCCTAGATTTTTTGTAATATAATATATCCGAATAAAAAATATATGTCCTAGTTAAACGCTATCTCCTAGATTTTTTGTAATATAATATATTCGAAGAAAAAATATATGTCCTAGTTAAACGCTATCTCCTAGATTTTTTGTAATATAATATATCCGAATAAAAAATATATGTCCTAGTTAAACGCTATCTCCTAGATTTTTTGTAATATAATATATCCGAAGAAAAAATATATGTCCTAGTTAAACGCTATCTCCTAGATTTTTTTGTAATATAATATATCCGAAGAAAAAATATATGTCCTAGTTAAACGCTATCTCCTAGATTTTTTGTAATATAATATATCCGAAGAAAAAATATATGTCCTAGTTAAACGCTATCTCCTAGATTTTTTGTAATATAATATATCCGAAGAAAAAATATATGTCCTAGTTAAACGCTATCTCCTAGATTTTTTGTAATATAATATATCCGAAGAAAAAATATATGTCCTAGTTAAACGCTATCTCCTAGATTTTTTGTAATATAATATATCCGAAGAAAAAATATATGTCCTAGTTAAACGCTATCTCCTAGATTTTTTGTAATATAATATATCCGAAGAAAAAATATATGTCCTAGTTAAACGCTATCTCCTAGATTTTTTGTAATATAATATATCCGAAGAAAAAATATATGTCCTAGTTAAACGCTATCTCCTAGATTTTTTGTAATATAATATATCCGAAGAAAAAATATATGTCCTAGTTAAACGCTATCTCCTAGATTTTTTGTAATATAATATATCCGAAGAAAAAATATATGTCCTAGTTAAACGCTATCTCCTAGATTTTTTGTAATATAATATATCCGAAGAAAAAATATATGTCCTAGTTAAACGCTATCTCCTAGATTTTTTGTAATATAATATATCCGAATAAAAAATATATGTCCTAGTTAAACGCTATCTCCTAGATTTTTTGTAATATAATATATCCGAAGAAAAAATATATGTCCTAGTTAAACGCTATCTCCTAGATTTTTTGTAATATAATATATCCGAAGAAAAAATATATGTCCTAGTTAAACGCTATCTCCTAGATTTTTTGTAATATAATATATCCGAAGAAAAAATATATGTCCTAGTTAAACGCTATCTCCTAGATTTTTTGTAATATAATATATCCGAAGAAAAAATATATGTCCTAGTTAAACGCTATCTCCTAGATTTTTTGTAATATAATATATCCGAAGAAAAAATATATGTCCTAGTTAAACGCTATCTCCTAGATTTTTTGTAATATAATATATCCGAAGAAAAAATATATGTCCTAGTTAAACGCTATCTCCTAGATTTTTTGTAATATAATATATCCGAAGAAAAAATATATGTCCTAGTTAAACGCTATCTCCTAGATTTTTTGTAATATAATATATCCGAAGAAAAAATATATGTCCTAGTTAAACGCTATCTCCTAGATTTTTTGTAATATAATATATCCGAAGAAAAAATATATGTCCTAGTTAAACGCTATCTCCTAGATTTTTTGTAATATAATATATCCGAATAAAAAATATATGTCCTAGTTAAACGCTATCTCCTA